ATTATATTATATTATATTGTTATTGTATTATTATTTTGTTATATTATACATTATATATCACATTAAATTGTATTACATTATACATTAAATAATATATGATATATGTTATGAATGTCAAAGATATTATAAATGTAATGATGTCATTATTAAAATTCGGAAATTTTTTAATCGTATTTATAACATTTTTTATTTATGATTTTATTTTTTATTTTTTCTTTTCTCCTGCTGTTTAATCTATCATTGATCAATTTTACTTTCACTATTCCTTTTCTTTTTTATCATTTCAAATATATTTAGTATTAGATTCAACTGAAATATTAATTTAAGTCACTTACTTAAATTTATTTTTTCACTGCAAACTAATTTAACTGCTTTCAGACATTAAATTAACTAAATTATTTAATTGTTTATTTAAATGGAAGTAATAAATGTGAGCGTAATATTTCGATAAAATTTTTTTGAAATGGATAAAGTTCGACAATACTGATACGATAAAAGTCAGTTTGATTATTTAGTAATTTCATTGTTTATAAGTATGAAAAACAGTACATAACATAAATAAGCAGATGAAAGGGAAAATAAATATATAAACTAATAAGTGAAATTTATTTATTTGCATTAAATTTACGAATTATTGACAATCAATAAAAGGATTTTAAAATGTAAATAAATAGAGAAGCTTACGACAAAAACTTAAATAAAAAGTAAATTGAGTTTGAAAACTTTAAACATAAGGAATTTCATACATTTACAGAACAACGAAACATTCTGCCTCATTTGTTCAAGCAAAGTTGATTGATCTCTTTTGATTTGCTTATAGATAACTGCAGGTTCATCATGAGTTAGCAGTACTTGAAGTGGCGCATAGAAGAAAAACTGTAAAGTGATGGTTGCAAATTAAATTAATAAATTTTAAAATTAAAAAAGAATTTTTTAAAAATCACATTTCAACAATTAACGAAAAAAGTATTATGGCTTCATATGCAATATAATACGGTAGAACTCAATAATTCCGGAAAAAAGTTCAGTATTCTTTACTTATAGGAATTAAATTTTTAAAGCCATAATTAATATTCACTTAAAATTACATTCTTATGGATTTCTTTGAGTTTTTTTTAAAGAAATCAGTTAATTTCATTTTTACTTTTTTTTGCTAAAATTTACACTTACTTGGAATAACAAATCAAGCAACATGGAAAGTGATACTGTAGCGCAAAAAAGTTGCATTTCAGGTGATGGTGCAATACAGCCTAATGCAAATCCAAGAGAATTTGTTAATGAAGTAACCGTTATACCTATTCCAACCTTTTCCAGGACCAATTGTAACCTGAAATGTAATATACGCAAAAAATTCAACCTAAATAATTTAATTAAAAAGAAAGTAATAGCTAAAAAAATTTAATTTAAAAAGTTTACTAAAAAGATTTAAATTTCATCAACTAACCTTTCAGCAGTTGTTAAAGCATGTGGAATTGCTATGGATTTGAACCATGTGTTTGTTATTAAAAATGCATCATCAACACCTTAAAATCGATTTTTCAAATTTAAATTCTTTATATAAATTTGTAAAAAATGGGAAATCTTTTTGTAGTTAGACAGAAAAGGAAACATGTCGAATCATTCAATAAAAAAAAAAGAAGTGAAGAATGCTGCTAACGGAAATTTGCCAATTTAAACATTTTTAAACACTGAGTTAAAATTAGCATAAAGTTTGGGTAAATAATAAGTAAGCAAAACAATAAGCAATATGAGTTAATGCCAAAATAAACATTAAATTAAACATAAAAATTGGGCAAACAATAAGCAAATAATGTAAAGTAAGCAATAGGCAACACAAAGTTAGCGCTGAAATTAAAATCAGAAAAAAAAAGGGATATTATTTACCATCCCATCCGCCCAACAGTCGACTGATTAAACGGAAAATTAAGACAATTAAACATTACGCTACACTTTCCGGCTATAACCATCCGGAACGTGCAGCAATTAATTGCAATAATAAGCAAACAATAAATTTGTTGTTTCGAATTATTGCTGAGTAATCATTAATAACTTTAATAAATGTGATATAGAAATGAATTAGAAAAAAAAAGGACGAAACATTTTAAATTGCAACAAAATAGGAAAGGCAACAAATAAATTTGGATAATAAATGAAAATGATTTCAACAGAAACAAGTGAATTAAATAAATACATTACTATGGGTTACTAACTAATTAACTAATTAATTAATGCAAATTATTCGGATTGTTGAAATATTGGCTCCTTTTTCTTGCTGTAATGTGTTTAATTAATATAATTGCAATTTCATTTGCATTAATTTATAACATTCAATTTCCTTTTAATTTATAATTCGACTAACAATTACGCATATGGTCAAATTTAGCGAAAATTTAACAAAGCATAGGAAAAAGAAAGCATATAATATAGCTTACCTATACCTGTAGCTAGTGTTAAAAATGGTGATATGAGAATAAGCATATTGATATGATAACCAGCCAAAAGTATTAGACCACTAGCTGATAGGGCTGCTAGAATTGGTGAAATAATTGCTACCAATGGTAAAATAAGTTGTAACCATCGCACTGAATATGAATAGCATAATGTTATCATAATTAAGCTTATAGCAACAAATACGATTAATAATAGAGCTCCTGAAAAGATCAATTGATTAATGGTAAGGAAAAGATAGCTTTGATGATAAAATTATCCAACAATATTACAATCTACTTAAATCATAATTGAATTACCCAATGATATTATAACTAATTTAAACTCGACTTATTCATCGATATCATCATCTATTTAAATTATTAGTTAAATTTCAACAATTATTTCTTACTAAGAGAGCAAAAAAACAAAAATAAAAAAACATTGAGCAATGATAATTTTTAAAAATTATCTATCGGTTAAAAAAATAAATTTAAATTACCTATAAAATAATAAGGAAGCACTAATTGAATTCCTCGACGTATTTCGCTACTTACAGTATGCGCACCATGCACAATTAGCGTTACTGTATTATTTAGATTAGCATTATGGTTTTG